GAGGGGAGAGTTTTGTTGTTGTGGAAAGGTTTCATCATCCCTGCTGCTTTGCATGCCATGATAGGTTAGTTGCATTTTCCCCTTGCCTGCAGACATCTCCCTTTCATGTTTCATGCACTGTCTTGTGGTGTTGGTGTCTAGTCTTACCCAGGAGCATCAGGAGTATTGGGGCTTGGTGGGGCTGTTGGAGAAGAAACATACCCTGCCCTGAGTCCTTCACCATCTTCTGTGTGCTGTGTGCATGTGTCTTTTCACAGTTCTGTCCCTTGGGCTTGGTTCAAAACTGTGGAGGAACCCCTAGAAATCCCATTCCTGGCTGTTCTTGGTCAGGAGACCAGAGGAGACAGACCCTCCTGTACAGGCTTCTCTGTAGGCAGCACAGGAGAGGGATGGGGATCACTGTGCTGGGTGTTACTGTGAACTGGCACCCTTGTCTTCATGCTAGTTTGTGCAGCACCCTGGTACTGAAAGGATTAAGCTGCCTGCTTCAGCCAAACTCAGCAGGATACCTGCCTGTGGGATTCATTGTGAACAGGGATCAGATAAGGGAGGGAGTGGTCCAGGGGAAGAGATGGCTCTTGGTTCAGGGATCCCAGCTCTCCCCACACACCAGTGTTTGGATCAAGGTTGGAATTGCCCCTAATCCTGGTTAGTGCCCCTAAAAACCTCCCTGCTGGCCTACTCAGGGAGTCCCACCCCATGGTCCCCCAGCACACCTACACCACGTGCAAGGCTGAAACTGTGGTTGTGGGGACAAACAGGGGAGAGAAGCTGTGTCCTGCTGCCTCAGAGAGCTGACCAGGCTTGCCTGATGTGGAAAAACCACAGCAGGAGGAAGGGCAGGATCATCCCCTCTGGCAGCAGCAGGGCCTTGGGTCAGTTTAAAGCAGGGAGTATGCCTGGTTTAAGAAAGGGCTTGGAGCTGCATTATGCCATCCCTCTCTGTCATGCTACAGGTATGCCCCTACACAGCCAGGCTGTACCCACAAACTCAATGTTTCTCCAAAATTGCTTCTTTGGATGTTTTTCTCTCTTGTTACACACAGTCCCATATCCAGTTCACCACTGCCTTGCACATAGGAACATCCAGAATGAGAGCCAGAATGAGAGTGAACACACACCAGCGCTGTGCTCCAAGCACAGGGTGATGCCAGCTCCAACCCCATCCCACCCCTGCGCCATGCACTACAGCCTGTGTCTGACAGTGGGGCCCAGCAGAGCTTGTCCCTGGTTCTAAGGAGTCAGGGCAGGGGAGAGTGAGACACTTGTCACCCCTGACCAAAGTCTGTGAGGAGCCACCTGCTCATTTCTAGCCCTTCCCTCTGGCTCTGCCCCCCATCTCCTCTCCCCTGCTGCACAGAGGCATGTGGAGACAGATGCTTCTGTCAGAGTGGAGCAGGCTTGGCTTGCTGGAAACGAATGGGAATTTGATTATGCTGCTCTGCAGAGCAGGGCTAACACGATTAAAAGGCCAGCAGGCAGGACTTGGAGGAAGGAGATCGCCTCTCTGTCTCTCTCTCTGTGCTGACAGTGGAGGCTCTCCTTTCCTTCTTCCTCAGCCCCTGGACTGCCCAGGCTGTTCTGAGACTTCACAAACATCCAGAGTCCAGATCTGAAGACAAAAGGAAGGGAAGACAGGAGAGAGTTGCAACCATCTTCCCCTGGGCTGCTCAGGGCTCCTACCTCCCTCTCTCCAGCAGCTCCTGCCAGCTCTCCCCTCTGGCCTGCCTGCTCTGTGACCAAGCTCCCTTGCTATTTACATTACAAAGCAGCCCCCTCTGCTCCACTCTGCGGGTTATATTTAGCTCCCTGGCACAGAACAGCCTGTGAGTTGCATTAGCCGCGTCCTATCTGCCAGCCGGGGACCACACTGAACAGCCGAGGTGTCTCACATGTCCCTAGCAGGGACGGGAGCTGGCTGGGGGGCACGGAGGGACACAGGACCCCCTCTTCCCGCTGCCAGAGATGGCTGTGTGGAGCCCTCTGGTGCGTGGGCTGGTCTGGGCGCTACCTCTGAACGTGACTGAGAGCCGAAGAGCACGACCTGGCAGAGCCTGCAGAGAGCTCGTACAGGAGCTTTTGTGCGCTTGTGGGCTTGTGGTTTCCTTTCTGGGTAAACACCCCTCGGGGCTGGGTTGCTGGGTGCAGTGACAGTGACAAAGACTACTGCTGCAAGCATCACCCTGAAAGCAATGACGAAATGGAGAGGGAGCCCACAAATGCTCAAGAGGGGTTGCAGGGTGCTGCTGTGACCTGCCACCACCTGTCCCAGGCCTCTCTGGCTCCAGGTCAGCTTTCCCTACAGCAAAGTTCTGCCAGCCTCTAGCGTGCCCTATTGCCACTGGAGCTATCCCACTCTGGGAGCTACAGATGATCCTGCCCCACCACAAAACCTTAGTGGAGACACTCAAGGCAAGCAGGTGGTGACTTTGGACTCCCTTTGGCCAAAGTGACTGGGGATTTAGACACACAACCCTTGTGTTTGCTCTGGGTTTGCCGTGGTAACAGAGGGCATTGGGTCCTTCTGGCATTGCAGAGGACCTCCCTACTGGGCAAATTGTCCCAGAATGTGGAAATCTGGTACACAAGCCAGCATAATTAATAAGTTTGGCACGAAACTGTTACTCAAAGCCCTAAATATAACCTGAGTGCTGAGCTCTCTTCCACCCGCTCAAGGCACCTCCATATACTGTGGCAGCTATTTATGGAAGGAGCTTTATTTCCATGGGATTAATATCATTTCTGCTCATTTCAAAAGCTTTATATAGCAGCTTATGCCACCTGCCCCTTGTGATGACTAATGGGTCCCAGCAGGAGCAGGTAGGTTGGCAGCAAGGGGACTGGGACCTCCAACCTTCAGCTGACATTGAGGATAATTGTGATGCCCACAGCCCATCCTCCAAACTCTGTACCAGGATTCAGTGTCTCCAGAGCTAGACAGCACAGCAAGGGGATTTCTGTCGGTCCCCTAGGACTTTCCATGCTGCAGGAGGGGCACATGATGGAAGGTTAGCCCACCTCTGGGTAACAGTTCTATCACCACCTGACGTGCCTGAGGAAGCAGCCAGACCCAAAACTACATGGGTGTCGCAGGAGGGAAGAAGCAGATGTCCACCCCCAGACACTTCCTCTCCCATTTCTCCCTCCCTTTGCTTGGCCATCCAAAACACAGGGTGGAGGAAGCAGCTCGTCCCAAGCACCATTTCTTCCTTTGCTCCTGGTGTGCAGGTTGCTGCAGCATTCCCTCCCACCTCTCAAAATCCTCCCTTCTGCAAAGCCTGCATTGGACAGGGCAAAGTCCCTTGCAAAGAGACCCCTTGTGAGGGTTGTGTAGAACAGAGGGGCTTTGTGTAAGGGCAGCACAGGCTGGAGCATGTCAACTGAGCCACTTGCTTGTGGTGGCTGGAGTGGGATGGACAGGGTGTATAAAACCCTAGCGACCTTGGATAATTCTAGAACAAATTCAGGCTGAAAATTTAGGTTGCAATATGTCCCTTCCTGCCCTGGGGAGGCTGGAAAATTGCAGCTGGCTAATCTGTTCACAAAATGCACTGTGCGCATCTGGAGAAGACAGCTAAGAGGAGAAAATCCTGCTCTGCTTGGCACAGTAATTCTTCATCCTCTGTGCCATCAGGGCAGAGACCCTCCCAGCTCTGTCTGGTGCCCCAGTGAGCAGCCCTGGGTACAGAATGAGAACCAGGAGGACTCGTGTTGTCCCAGCTCATGTCAAGGCTTAGGGACGCTGGGTACCTGGGGAGGTCTCTGCCACCCTGGCTTCTGCTTGCCACCCACCACACGAATAACAAGTGCTGGGAATGAGTCAGCTTCGAGGCCCCTCCTGCTCTGCAGGCACTAATAAGTTTTCCCATTAGTTCCCATTACTGTAGTATTAGAGAGCAATTTGCTCACAGCTTGCACTGAAGCCCTTGCAAGGGGGAAAAAAAGGCTGCTGGATATGTGGGAGTGCAGGCGGGGGGTGACCAACAGCTCCTACCCAAAATCTTCCCCCTGGCAGAGCTCTGCACCCCAGGGTCCCCAAGGCCCAGACCAGGGGCGGGACAGCTCATCCAGCCTCTGTCTGCCATGGCAGTGGACCTCCATGTCAGATTTCCACCTACTTGTAAACTATGTGGCACTTGCTGAGGGTGGCATGACATGGTAACATGGAGCTCAGAAGGACACAGACAACTCTGTGCCAAGCCAAATCTGGAGAGTGGTAAGAAGGCAGCTCCTCCTCTCAGTCCCAGACTCTCACAGCAGTCCAGGATCAGTCCTGCAATGCTCATGTCTAGTCTGGGCATGTGCAGGGTCAAAGGATTTCTCCTCACTTACACCTGAGAGCCATTCTGCAAAGATGGGGAGTAGTAAATCATAGAAGGTCTCAAACACCCTTCTAGCAAAAGAAAGGACGGGGTAGAACGCCAGACCTTATTTGTTGTGACAGAAGAATGGAGCTGAAGTCCTGGATATACTGACCCAAGCAGCATTTCAGGCACTATGGCTGGAGTTGGGAACAGGAGCTCACCTGGGTATCACCAGGCAGTGGCTCCCATAAGCCCCGTGAGAGCTATGAGAACCACTCTTTACCTCTGTCAGCTTTGCTTGGTGATAGCAGGGGTGGGAAAGCACAGGAGTTGCAACAGAAGAGTCACACCAAAAGCTAGGACAGATCTCCCCTTGCTGCAAGGTACTCTCAAAAAGCCCAGATCACTGCCTAGGAGGCATCACAGTCCCAGGATGGGACGGGGGAGTTGGATAGAAGGAAAATAAGAGGATCTGCAAAGGTGATAATGAGACTGCCACTGCAGAGGGAGCTGTTGCATGCAATGGGAGGGACTGGACTAACTGGTTGCCTTGTCTCTGTGCTGAGGTGATTTCTGGAATGTGCTGGTAGTTGGTGAAAAAAGCCAACTCTGACCCCATGGGGGGGAGATGCCTCAGTGACAGGCCACCCCAGTGCCCAAGTGCATCCCTGACTTGGAGACCCAGGCTTTTCCTACCTGTAGGAGACCTGCTTTCTGATGGCCAAGTGCAGGAACTGCTCCTCCACCTCTGCCACGGCCACTGCCCCTCGCATCTCCTCCCAAGCTGGATCCATGCTGCGGAGGCCCAAGTGTTGTTCTCGTCCAGTGCTCTCTGTATCTGCTGCTCCCTGGAAGTTTCCTGTGGCTCCCCTGGCCAGCTCAGCATCATTCCTGGCAGGGGAGAAGTCTCTCCAGCTCCCGGCACCTTCAGCCATGCTGGAGTGAGGTGTCTCTCTAGGCAAGGAGTCCCAGTTTGCCCTCAGAACTTCTTGGGCAGACTGGTCTTGTCCCACAGGGTCCCACAATGCTGCTCTGCTTCGCCTCTCCAGAGCCGTGGGACAATCCCAGCAAAGCTTAGCTCCCTGAGGGAGCACAAGCACGAGAAAAAAACAGTGTCCAGCTTTTTGTGGTGGTATTTACTGGCCTCTTGATAGCAGCTTGAATAGCTCAGACGCAGCAGCTCAGCCTCTTGCCGTCTCTACTGCCCTGCCACTCTGAAGCAGAGGAATGTCTGACACACACCCGGAGATGCTGGTGCTGCTCCTCGGAGGTGCTGCCACTGTGAGAGCAGTGGGGAACACAGCGTTCACTGAAGAAGCACAGTCCAGGGATAGCAATGCTTGCAAATGAGTGAAAAAGAGCTTGGATTGCCTTTTGCAAGGTCCCTCTGGAGCCACACACATCCGTCACTGTCCCCAGCGGCAGCAGTTGAGCGGGAGCAGCAGGGAAAGGTAGGCAGTGAGGAAAGTGCTGTGTACAAAGCCTGGAGCAGCTCTCAAAAGACAAAGCAGAAAGTGAGCATGAGTGTGTGCTGTGTGCGTGGGGAGGGGGCTGCGGGGAGCTGCATCCAGCAGGCAGCCTGGTGTCACCTTAGAGACACTTGAAACTGGCACTTAACTCTTCAGAGTCTGGGAAGGCACAGGAGGGTGGCAACTCAGCTGCCCCTCTCTGCCTGCAGTCCAGCTAGCACCTGCCTGCCTGCAAGGGCTGCTCAGGGAGCTGGGTCTCGGTCACTTGTCTTAACCAGACCTGCTGTCAGGTGAAGTCAGGTAGCCTGGAAAACTGCATGACAGCAGCACCCCCAGCAGAGCAAAGTACCTGCTGTTGTATCCAATCATCCACCATGGATGACATCTGTTCAGGGACAGGGTCCCCAGCTGTGGACAGTGGTACCCATCTGAGCAGAGGTAATGCTGTAGCATGGCCTCTGTCTTTCCAGTTGGCTCACTCAGGTCCTTGCCACTTCGAAGGCTACTTTATTCCTGATTTTTCCTTATTCAAGTCAATTTTTCTCCAATCTTGGCATCCAGAGGTAGAAATGACCTTCTGTTCTCTGCCCATATACATCAGAAAAGTTGCATCATTTATTTGTCCTGGGCTGTGGCTGGACTTTGTGCCCGAGTCCAAGCCCACCTGTCAGCTGGGATAAGAGATTCCTACAAAGCTCCCATATGTGCCTGGTTTGTTCTGTCCCAGATTCACATGCTGTGCCTTTACCTGCTAGGCCCTGGAAAATTCAAAGTTCCTGTCTATAAGAGCCATCCCCTGCGTCATGGCAAGGTCCTACAATCATCTATCACACAAAGAGCACATTGCAGTCACCTCTAATCCCAGTGTTTTCCCATGAAAGTCTGGCATGATGGGAGCAGGAACCTGTCCTCAACCTGCTCTGTTGTATCACCATGGAAGTCATCAGGAGCATCTCATCCCTTGTGCCAGCACTCTTCATTACCTCCATATGGCCTTGTGGCACCTCTGCTGCAGGGTGCTGTGGAACAGCATGTTCCCACGCCACTTTTCACCCCAACCTGGGAAGCAGCATGGGCTGAGGAAGTGCTGTGTCTTTTCCTGGTAACCACAGCCCACTGGCACCTCCAGTTCAAGTTACTGAACCTTTTTCTGGCCCTTAAAGTCACAATGACATCTCTCTCTGGCTGTACTTCTGGGGGATTTGTTTCTCTCAGGGGTACAACAGCCCCCAAACCCACTCCTCCACAGAATCGTGACTGGCAGGGGGCCCCCACCCTCCTCACTGTGTGACTCAGCCCCTCCAGCCCCCACAGGGGTTTTGTTCTCCTTGAAAGCTGAAGCACTGCGGGGTGAGCCCTCCCCCAGCAGCACTGCACAAGCACAGCTGGCCCTGGGGAAGCAGCTTCATCCTCCCTTGCAGGGACACAGACCTGCTTGGGAGCTTGTCAGCACTCCCTGCATGGATGCATGGCCCTGCTCCATGTCCTCCTGCTGCCCACAGAGGCTGGGAGCAGGCTGTGGAAAGGGAGAAGCAGCAGGTGCCCAGTGGCGCCTGTTCTTCTCACCACCCACAGTGAGATGTTTCTCTTCTGCCCTGGGCTCTTCCTGGCCTAGGGACCCTCTGTTGCCATGGAATATGGGAGTCACCTTCATCTGTGCCAGCTGGGCTGTCAGGGCAGGACAAAGATGGGCTACCCAGAGGAGCTACAGGGGATGCAAAATGCCAGCTCCCTCTTGCTCCCAGGGAATTTTGGGAAACATCTGTCTTGTCCTTTATGGTTAAAGAAGTTTGTGGCCACCAGGCTGAGGAAGTGGATGACCAGTCAGGGATGGAGACAAATAGGAAGTTGGGTGAGAGCAGGGTCGAGGCTTCCAGGTAGGAAGGAAGGCAGAGCATTTCTCACTGGTGTTTGTGTCAATGCCATAGGAAAGGAGCTTCAGGGTGGGAAGCAGAGGCCCTTATTGCAGGAACAGGAGACCCCTGAGCCAGGCAGAGCAGAGCCCTGAACTAACAGCACCTTTGGTCAAGTCAGAGTAAAGGCCTGGACAGTAAGTGCCTCTTGCATTCCCAAGGGGCCTGATCTTGCTCTACAGAAACCCTCTCTGTGGGGAGAAGCTGCCAACAGGGGATTTCTAACTTTCTACCCACATGCCAGGTTATATAGCTGTCACACAGGCAGGGCAGGCCAGATTGTGTTTGTCTGGAGGAGACATCCCAGGATATGCCTGCATGAGGTGACGTAATGGATTGCACAGGCATCTGCATCTCTCTCTGCCCACCTGATTCTGCTTCTCTCGTGAATGGGATCACCCTTCACTTGGAGCTCCCTGAAGACTTGGGAAGAGCAGGCAGGTGCTGCCTGAGGACGCTGGGGCTGGACAGTAGGATTGGGTCAGTCCTGTCCTCCTGGCACCCTTCAGCTGAGCCAAGTCACCTGCTTACCTGGTGCTTACCCTCGTACCTGGAGGACATACAGGAGTGTGTCTCTCCTGTGCTCAGATTTCCTTCTGCGTGGGCACGTGGGACAGTGCAAAGGCATATTGGTATTTACCATACAGATCCCATCCTTGGTTTTGCAGGCATAGGCAGGACATGAGCTTTCTAGGAAGTAGTATTTCTAGTGAGTAAAGCTCTGTGAAGGTACAGTCACCTTCCCTGGGCACAAGAAAAACCTCCATCCTGCTCACCTCTAAAGCCCCATTTCAGCCACCAGATCAGAAAATCAACACAGATTTGTTGAGGCAGGTCAGGTCAGTGTCCATCCAGGCGCTATCACTGTTGACAAGCCCCAAAAGCACCTGGGGGATGTGAGGCGGTGCAACTGCCCCATTTTCCCCAGAAGGTGTCCAAAAGCCCGGGCTTCTTGCCTGGTAGCAGGACCAAAGCATGTTTATCCCTTGATGGATATATGAGGCAACTCCCTAGCACAAATCCCAAGAGGGAACAGCAAGAGGGATCATGCCAGGCTTAGAGAGCATGGATACTCTCCTGAGAGCCCTAACTGCCCATGTCTTCTGAAACAAACAAAATATACCCACCAGGCTGCTGCCATGCACTGCCAGTAACCCTTTTGGCAGCAGCAAGCAAAAAAAACTTAGTATTTGATCTTTTTTGTTGTTTTTAATTGTCCTGGTAACAGAACAATTGGGAATAATTTGTCTCTGAAAAACAAAGTCCATGTTCTGTTTGCATTTTTTTGTTCAGGGCTTGTATGAATTGACAGTGCAGAGGCTTCTGAGAAATGTGACCCTGAGTGGGCGGAAGCCCAGCTTGCTGTGGCAGAGCTCAGCTGGGCACTTGGAGCAGACCAAACACAACTGAGTGAGGCTGAAGGTGACTTGTAAAGAAGGTGACTGTTGCTCTGCTAATTCTCTCAATCTGCTCTAATTAGTTGCCGTAGTCAAATTGGTAGGTGTGATTGACTGGTGCATTTTGGGAGGCATAGCGGGGATCAAAAGATCCTAATGTGTCTGCTTTGAGCAGCTCAGAGATTTCTGGTAGACTGCAGAATTAGGAGGATTTGTCAAGATGAAGGGAAATTTTCTCCTCATGGAAGGGTTCTGATTGGTCTGGCTGTGTTAACGGAGCCAAAGCCTGAGAACTCATCCTTTTAAGAGCTTCCCTCTTGCACCTGTTTTGGAGTGTCTATGAAGGGTGCAGGCCAAAATCTCCCTGGAAGGCAATTCCCAAAGAGCTGTGTGAAGTTTCACAGGGCTGAGCAAAAACAGGCTGAGCCCTTCCTCTGGATGAAATCTGATGAGTGCAGGGAGCAGCCCCACCCCATGGTGGAGGAAAGTGCATCATACTGACACAGGGTTAGGAGGCTGCTTTTGGATGAGGTGCTGCAGGGAAAACATCAGATTCTCAACTCACAACTAGTTCTGGCTCAGGAAGAAACTGCAGGGCAAGATCAGGCATTTCCTTGCATTGGTGGGTGGGCAGGGGGAAGGGAGCTCTGCATAGGTCTGCAAACCCATGTCAAACTAACCTGCCATGGATCACACATCAAACTCCCTCTTGGCAGTACAGACCTGGCTCAGAAAAGAGAGCTCCTATCTCTCCCAGACGCTGTTCAACAGCCAGCTTGGTCAAAACAGCAAGGCAATAGCTTTACTCCTCTCCACAAAGAAATTATAATCTGCAGAAAGAGACCTATGTAAGCCCCAAGCCCTACATTCTGCTGTGGCACAGTCCTGCTGTACCTGCCCAGCCAGAGGTGGGAGATAAAGACACCTTATAGCATCTTTCAAAGTCACTCCTGCTTAGGCTGCCTTCCAGACATGGAGGGCTGACTCCAAGGAGTTGCTTCAATGACCAAATTCTAATGAACCCGCTTGAAGCTTGCTAGAAAATGAAAATTTGTTTTCTAGACCCTCAGTTACTTTGTGTTTCACACAACATCTATTCATTTTTGCAAGTATAAATGGACTGTCAGAGGTACAGGCTGACAGCCAGGACCCAGGTCATTTCCCATTTGAGTGCAGTTGCTCTGCTTTTACAGTTAATGAAAAGATTTAGGTATTTTTTCAGACAGGACAGGACATCATGCTATGAGCTATGTCTTTGTTGTACAGACCCCTGCACAGCCTCTTCATTGAAGTAGCTCTTTGCTTCTCATGTACTTTCTTCCATGATCTTACTCCTTCCAAGAAGATGATAGTGGTGTTTCGAGGGGGGGAAAGAAACTGAGGCAGAAGAGTTCTGACTTGTTCAGAACTGCAGAAGAAATGACAATGACAGTGCTGCTGGAAATAAAACATGCAAGTTTGTTTCTAGCCCCTGACATGGAGCATGAAGTCCCAGTACTGAACCAATTTTGCACACGGCCAGGGAACAGGAGAGGGAGCAGGAGGTTAAGAGCTGTGATGTGGGCTGGTGTGACTACCATGCTTCAATGAAAGCACCTGTCAACCCAGGGCTGATGCTGCATCTTTTTATTTTATTTTTATTTTGCTTCATAAAGCAAATGCAGAGCAAGTGATAGAAGGAGGAAAAAGAGTGGCTTGAAAACAAAACAAAACAAAAACCACAAAAAAACTAAGAGGGAAGAAGCAGCTGCTGGAGTATAAGTGGAAAGTGAGCTGCTACAAGAAAGAAGTTCATAGATGCCAAGCCCGCACTAATTCTTAATAAAATACAATACTGAAAATAGGATCTCAGAGTCTCCAAAATACAATATCTTAAGGGATTGGCAATAATACAAAATAAGTTTCATTATGTACAAACGAGTTCTGCTCTTGATCTCTGTACAACGGTGGGGAGTGGGAGGCACGGGGACATGCTCAGTGGAAGTGTTGGGGTGGGGAGGGTGTGCTTGGACCCGGCAGTGGTTCTTTGTGCTGGGGTGGAGGTGCAGAATGGGGAATGCAGTGGTATCTGATGACCAGTGGGTCCTGTGGGGAGAGCAGAGCAATGCTGAAAGCCTTCCTCTTCCTCACCCCACTGGCCACGCATGCACAATTGCAGCCAGCTGTGTCCAAATTTTCCTAAATGACTTGGAAGGGCAAAACCAATTTTCAATAGGGAGAAAAGAAGGATGTGAGGGCTCTTCCCTCACCTCTAAGTCCTTGAACAAGAGCCATCCCATCCTTCCTCTAAAGGAAGCCTTCTCCACTCCCAGTCTGGGGGGAAGAGGAGAGGCTGGGGCAGTGCAGAGTGAGTCGAGGGTGCTTGATGAGAAACAAGCAGAAGAGGAGCCTGCTGTGAGACCTGGCAGAGTGCACAGGGACTCCGTGTTACACATGGGGCAACCTGCCACATCCCAGATCTCCGACACTCGTGTCCCACATTGTCCTTCCATCAAATGGCAGCTGAGGGAATGGAGCGAGGAGACACTTCTGCCTTTTCGCAGGACTTCTGCTGGAGAGGAAGAAGGGTCAGAAATGGGTGCCTGGGTGCTAAAGAGAATGGCATAGGCTTGAGATGATGTCACTTCAACACCAAACTTGGCAAGGCTGGCCTGAGAGGTGGTATGGCAAGAGTTTGCTATCTTTGCTGTCAGCATTTAGAAAGAAGAGATCTAAAAATGTCTTTGGTGACCCTGGCCAATTCCAACATACCACCTCTTTCCTGACAGATGTACCTGTCTCCAGAAATGCCAGTATGTCCTCAGTGGCTTTCACAACACTATTGTGCACACAGAGGATGTGAGGGGAATGCTGGCTAATCTGACAGCCCTCCAATGGGTTGTAGAGCTCTCCTTGGTGATTCCTAAGAAGACCCCAATTAGGCATGAAGCAGATTCAGGGATGGAGAGCTGGGATAGGGATTGGGTTATGGGAATGTATTTTTCTCACTCACTCTCAAAGGGGAAGGCTTGCAGAATGGAAAGTGAGAAGACCACTGACCTGGCTAGCACTGCACTGTGGGGCCCAAGCTGGGAACAGAAAGAAAAATACCACCCCTGCCAAAACAGGGGTGCTAAGGGTGGGGAGAAGTGGATTATGAGGGAAAATTGTTCTCTTTCAGAGCTCTGGTTACCCAGAAGCTGCTGGCTAATTTTTATGGCGATTTATCTGTCTGGGATCTCTCTCCCCTACTCCGTTTGTGTGCAGATCTTTGCAGATAGTTGGTGTTGAAGTTATGTAGGCATGTCCATCAAAAGAAAACTAGAGCAAGGAAGAACTAGGTTTTCTCTCAATGGAAGCAGAAATATACTAACATATGGAGGGCAAGGAAGGAGCTCAAACTCTCCAGAGCCATCTCTCCAGCACCAGCATCACCCACTCCTAAAACCCTCGGGCAGAACAGTCAATCCAGCACTTTCTCTCTCCTTCAGGTGCATCTGATGTAGCCAAGAGCTACATATGTGTGGACAGCCCCCTTGGTCTGGAGGCTTTGGGGAGCGAGCTGAATAGTTTATGGGCTTCCCCTGATCTCCCTCCTCTCCAAGGTGAGCCCACATCCATAGGGTAGTGCTCATTTAAGCAGGAGGTAAGGCCAGAGAAAAGGGAGTCTCAGGGCTTCTCCAGACAGTTACTGCTGGTTCTGGCAGTCCTGTGACTCCCCTCAGAGAGATCAGCACTAATGGGGATGATGGGGAAGGGGAGGAGCTGAACCCAAGGCCAGTTTAGGAGTGTCTAAATGCAGTGTCCTCTCCTGCCAAGTCCCCTCAGTTGCTTGGTGAGGAGGGAATCCTGCAATCAGACAGATGAGGCCTTGAGGTCCAGCAGCTGCTACAAGAATTCAGTTGTCTCACTGGAGCTTGTCTCCCTGAGGAAAAGAAAAGACAAGACATCAGTCAAGGTTCATTGCAGCCTTCTATGCAAATCCACCTCTCTGTGTGCCCAGCTAGTTTGCTCTGACCAGGACGAACTCCTTCCCCAGGGCACTAAATGGGACACAAACCTGGGACCATAAGAGTCATCCAGCCCTCCACATCTTTATGCAAGTGGGACACTGCCTAATGGACAAACTTTTGCTCTAGAAAATGAACTTGTTGAACTTGTTCTTATGCTCCCTGCCAGCACTGGCCTTCTCCAGCCATGGCTCTTAGCTGACTGCCTGTCCTGGGTGGCTCAGCTGTCCTTGGCTTGCAGCAGAAGGGACAGACGTGCCTGCTTACCCCCAGGCACTGTGCTGTGCTTTGGGCTCAGAAGGTGGCCCCACCAGCTTACCTCTCACGGAACCGCTCTTTGAGGTGGCTGAGAGTTGGGTCAGTTTGGTTCTGGTCAGGACCCCCCTGGGTTTTGCTCAGATATTTAGCTGTCTCATGTGTCCTGGCCAGATGAGGCCTTCCTTCTTCAGACTGCCTTTTTTTGGCTTCCCACCCCTCAGGATGGTCCATGGTTAGGAAGGAGCTATAGCTCTCTTCTAAGGAGCCAGCACCCTCATCATAGAAAAGGAGGCTCCGTGACTGAACTGGAAAAAAAGGAGAGCATTTGTTAACAATGAGGGCAAGATCTCTTGCAATGGGTGTGGGTCATGATGGTGGTTTCAGCACATGCTCACCCAGCCTTGTCCATGTGGAGCTGTGCAGGATACCCTCTCCTCCCCCTGGCTTCATGAAACAAATGCCCCTCTGGACACACAGCCTCTTCATAAGACAACCAGTCTGCCCTGGGACTTTTCCCTCATGTGCCTTCCTTTGACACTTGCCATGTTATGGGACAATGGTTAGCATAGAATGACAACAGGCCCAACAAGGAGCTGTTATGGAGTTTGTACCACAAACAGATTAGGAAAATTCCCTTGCCACAGTCCCAGCATATGGGGAAGGCACAGAGGTGAGGATGCTATGCCTGATCAGGGAGTGTTGAGAGAAGACCTGGAAATGGTTTGACAAGTTGGAATGGAGGAACACATTAGACTCACTCTTACTAGTTGTGTAAATATCTGGTGCTGGTGTTGCTTTCACTGTCTGTGATGCTGAAGAGAATTCAGGGAGACAGGGCATCAGGGATCCCAGGATCAGAACAAAGCAGAGTGCCAGCACCTAGAAAGGAAATCAGCACAGAGTCAGTGCCACTAGCCATGAAGAAAACTCCCCCCACAGCACAACCACATGAGGCTCTGTAAGAAGATCTGGTCAGACTGACAACTGGGTACCTGTGGTTCCCCAGACAGGGAAGGGGCTTGCTGTGCTAATCTCTGCTGCAAATTCAAGAAGGGAAGCCAGAAACTTCCTCTTGTTGCTTTATTTGGAGTATTTCTGGTTCAATTGTGAGAACGTGCATGTCCTATTGAGGAGAGATAGTGGAAGGCATAGCTGAGAAACAAGCTGAAAAAAGGGAGACTCAACAGAAGGGACAAACTCTGCCTGGACCAAGTGGAACCTGACCATTGGCTTAGCAGGAGCTGTTGTGGGCTGTAAAGAAAACAAGTCCACTGGGAGAAATCTGTGAGGTACTACACACAGAGCAAAGTGAATCTACTATCCATGCAAGGACAGAAATGACAGGAAAACTGCTGTTGCCTAATACCTGATAGTAAAGATGCAGAATTTTAGGAAAGGTTGAATTTATGCTTGATGGGTAGGTATGCAGGACCATGTGTCAGTGCCTTCTGCTATCAAGCAGAGCAGTCAGAGCTACTAGGCAATGATAACAGGAGAAAGGTACATGAAATCTCCCCTGAAATCCCTCAGGTAGGTTTGGAGCTATCTGGAAATTCTGCCATAACAGTAAAGCTTCAGAATGAAATGCCAGTGCTGATCATAAGGGACTCTACAGAGCTTAGGGAACTGCCAGTACAGAGCAAGAAGGCACACATGGGAAATGGTACAAAGCCAAATTACTGAACACTCATGCACCATGCATGGTCTGTAACTACCTGCTGCCAGCTCAGTGCTCAAACTGAGCAGCCAAAGAGGCAATGCATCTGTTGGTGATTTCTACTACCTATGTATAAACTAGCAAATTTGATCTTGGTGGATGCCTGTGGGGACAGCCAGCAATTGCTTGACTGCTTTTCAGAAGTCACCTATTTTAGAATACCTGTGCCTAAGTAATGCACAGAAGCTGGTACATCAAGTTAATTTTGACTACCAGTGGATTGCAGGAGATGTGGAAGATGAAATAGTAACATGGGGATACTGTGTTATATAAAGAAGAACTTTAATTATCCAGACTCTTCATGTCTGGTTTTAAAGTAAGGACATTAAATGAAGGCAGCATAGATGCTGTGGAAACGTGTCATATCAGGCACATGAAGAATTTAGAATCCTTATTTAACAAAAACAGTGGAAAAAATAAATTCTGAATGGATGTTGCTTGGAATTATCACAGCCAAACACACAACTTGGAGAAAAGGGAGCCAGCCCTGTAAAGTCTGTTCTTTCCTTCTAAAGAAAACCAGGCTTTTTGGGCTGAGAAAGAGCAGTATACTTAACATCTTGCTTTAACATAGCTTTCAGCTGGGGTTTTGCAAAACAGCACTGTTTTTACTGTTTTGTTTCAGGTTAACTCTGATGCTCTGATTCAGTCCTAGTTCAAACTCTACAACACTTCATAACAGTAACTCTTGGCTTGATTTGGAGTAACATTTATGTCACAGCTTTTGACCATCTTATTATTTGACCTCTTAAAATTGAGGAAAATTAACCTAGAGAAGACTACTGCAAAACCATTTGGAAAGGTGGAGGTAAAATTAATAATAAAATAAAAGACATACTGAGAGTGTATTTATCAAAGGTTCACTGTCAAACTGTGAGGAAGTAGCAGATGGAGTAGCAGAGAGATCTGTTACAGATCTGGCAAGATTCAGTGTTTTTAAGCTTGACTTAAATGATGGACTGTATCAAATCTGCAGATGGCAGAGACTACAAGCAGACTGGCTTTTGGTCAGTATTCAAATTTGGAATGATCTTGACCATGGGAAGAAATGGTCCAAGAGAACACTGGGAAGATATATGCAGACAAATGTGGGGACCTGCTGAGAGCTCTGAGGTGGCAGGAGTGATTAACAGAGGAAATACATCAGTAGCCATGTGTTTCAGCTGTCCTACAGAAGAGGCTCTGGGAGTTAAGGTCAGTGTTACTTTGCAAAGGGCAAATCTCAGCCCAAGCATTATGAACAGGCTTTCTGGCTGGATTTGTACTGGCCTTCAGGTGGAACACTATGCCCAGCTTTGGACCCTACACTTCCAAGAAGATGCAGGGCCATTGGAGAAAATCTGGAATGCAGCTCCGGGAACAATCAGTGATTCAGTAACTCAGCCTTTGAGGGAAAACTGAAGAAATCATAGTGATTTAACAGACCAGACTGAAGGGAGTTGCTCAAAACCAAGAATTTTCAAATATGTAAAATGCAGCTGCCCAAAGGGAGAATAAACAGATCTTGCTTACAATGGGCAGAAGAAGTTCTAATAGGCTTAAGCTGCTGCAAGGGAGATTGAGATGGGATAGCAAGAAAGCTTTATCTGGGAAAGGTTACATAGCACTAGAATGGTTTGCTTGAGGAGGCTCAGGACTGCTCACCACTGGAGCCTTCAAGAAGTGGCAGTACAAATATTCAGGAGCAATGACACAGGGCTAAAGAAGAAGGGTAGCCTGCTCCACACCAATGCTGCAAGACACAATGATTCTACATATCTGTCATGATAAGGAATGCTGTATTTGAAAATGGAAAATGAGAACTCAGAGGCTTATGAAAGGAACTGGTCAAAGATAGAAAAGCAAATTACAAATTCTTGGAATGCTTCAAAGCTAGGAAGTCAGAGAGTGGGTGTGTGGGCTGGGATGCCTGCAACAAAGGGAACAGCAAGGAGACATAGGACATTGTTGGGAAGCTAAATTAGATATTATATCAGCCTTTAGCACAGGGAGTGTCTTCTAAAATTGTTTATTCCAGGTAGTAGCATTGAAGAATTGTTGGAGCCAGAGCCGCTCTGATGAGCTGCTGCTTTAAGGAGCAATGAGTCACTGGGCTCAGCTGGGTCACACCCAAAAATGTGGAAAGAACTTGGGAATGAAGACAGAGAGCAGGGACAAGAAAAGACAGTCATTAAAATCTGGTCCGACATGGGGGCAGCAAAGAGCAGCAAAAGGTTGAGCAGACTTTGAAAGGAGAAAGTGCTTGAAATTACAGAGCAGGGCTCTGGAACCAAGAAAACTCATTGAACCAGGACCAAAAAACAATCCCTCAGGACACTGAGGGTGCTGAGAAAGTGGGGCAAGTTCCTCACCATCTGTTTGCATTTTGTGACTGCTAACAGTACAGAAGTGATAACCAGATATAGATAACTAACTCTGACAAATTTGTCACGAGCAGCTACTATGACAATCCTGCAAAGACATCACAGGGAGTGAAGATTGTATTTTTACTATGGATCATAAATTTCCCCCAGAAAAAAAAGAGAGATGAAGATTAAGCAATTTGTTCTATTTATGGCTATATGCTGGCATGCTCTAAAATTCCTCAATGAAGCCAATATTTATTAACCATGATCCTCCACTATGAGGCAAACAGGGATTACCAAAACAACAGACAGCCCCGAATTATTATGGTTAGTCAAAAGGACAAAGAGAATTCCAGCTGGATTTAACAAAGCCTATGTGGAGGCATAGCAAGAACAGATGCCATTTCTTGCTGATAAACACAAGGTAATGCCCACTGGGATGAATACTTGGAGTTTTCATCTGCCCTGCTGAGTTAAACATTAAGCATTACCAGCTCAGCAAAAGAAAACTCTGCCCATTACAATGGAATCTCATTGAAGATTTTTGCTGAATGGCTAATAGATAATGAAAAGCAAACAAAGTGCTTTTTTGCCCAAAGAAGAAGGCAGTGAAAATGCAGGAATTATTCTAATGTTGTTGCATAAACAACTGATGTATGTATGACACAGGGCCCAGCTCTGGTGACTATAACACAAAAGGAAAGGGCAGATGTAACTGACAACAGAGCTGGACAGCAGGGAAGAGGGCAGAGACAGGCAATCAACAAAGCTGTCTGGAGAAGCATGGCCAATAAGGAAGATGGAAATGAAGCTTATACCATTAGACAGGTCCCAGTCTGCGTGGAAGCCATTTTATAAGGTCTGGAGACTTTCCCAGCTACCAGAGCCTGAAGCTTCTGTAACTGCTGGAGCAGAGTCCTGTGATAGGAAACAATGCATATCAAAACTTAATAAGGAGGTAGAAGCCAGTAAGTGAGCCAAGAATACCACTACCTGCTTCACATTGTACCTTGATTTTCCCTTCTTGTGGAAACAAGTATCTCCCGTTTGCTGTATATTGCTTAAGTTCTCTGACCAAACAGGCTTGGGAAACAAGAAACAAAAAAGGGTCTCATCAGTGGATCCACCACCACCTTCACTGCACCTACCCACTATTATGAATGACTATTATTTAGGGCTCCTGGGTGCCTGAAAGCCCAGCCAGTGAATTCCCAGAGCAGTGGAGAGCCAGCATACCATGAAAACCAAGCTCTGGCATGGAGGCTGAACTTTGTAGGCAGGTCAGACCTTTAGCACAGGCTTGCCTGCTCCCACTTCATTCAGAGACACATACTCTGAAGCTCGACTTGTGCCCCAAACTGTGGTGGAGAGAGAAATCAGAAACAGTTGTGATCCCCTTGAGCTTCTTCAGTCTTGGCAAATTCTGCACAGGAATGTAGGCAAAGCCAAATCTTGAGTTCAGCAATTAATTAATTCTCTGACTGCCCTGGCTGGAACACATGCTGAGGTCTCTCTGCCCCATTTAACTGTTCATGGGCATCTGCACACATAATACAAAACAGTGGTAGGTGTTACCGAGAGCTACTGAGCCCTTCACTGAGCTGGTGAAGGAATCTGGGATGAGGGAGACTACAGAGTGCACAGTTCCCAAGAGTTGCATACTATTGAAATGGAGGCTATTGCTGACTTTCCCTCTGGGAGCACTGACTGTTTTACACAAATATGTTTGAGCTTTCATAAAATGCCAGGTCCTGGAACCAGGAGATTGCAGGAGATTCCCAGCTTTATCCCTTTCCAAATCCTGTTTTGCTCCCTGTACATGTGGAGGGAGAGAAGCACAGAGTGTCCCACTGGCAGTGCTCAAAAACCAAACCAAATTAGAAGGAACACAATGTGTATTTTAGGGGAAAAATTAAAATCTCTTGGCTTTTAGGACAGTTTCCTCATTTTTCAGGGTGGGGCTCACACGTTTTCAGCAGGAGAGCTGCCCACACTCCCAGAGAGGCCAGGGGGTAAGATGTGCCCCATGCATGAGAGCAGCTAAGCAGCTGTATCTCTGGCAGACAGGAGACCTCTGGCTCTCACACACCTCAGCCAGACCATGCCTGGCAAACCCCAGTCCCAGCTCCAGTGTCAGGCCTGGAAGCCAAGGCCACTGCACTCGTGTGGTGGATGGGAAAAAGGTGTGCAGTGAAGCCCCTAGGAGTCCTCCATGAGCTGACATGGCAGCTGAGGAGTGGGTGAGGAACTGGCTCTCTGGCTGTGGCTCTCCCCTGCAAATTGAGCTGATAAAAATGGAGCTATAGAGACAAGCATCCTCTGCAGTTTACCCTGCCCTTGCTCACACCTGTTGTGCCCAGTAAGAGGGAGCAGAGCTGGGCTCTCCTCTAGCTCGGGCTGCCCTTCCCCACTGCAGGGTGGAAATCTTCATTATTTGCTTCCAAGGAAGCAAATTCCCCTGGTAATTGATGGGCCAGCTCTGCATATAAAAAGCACAAGTGCTCACCAGAGCTTTGAGTGAGGAAACCCAGAGCCTTGGGTGAGAGACCTTTGGGGCTGTGGGAGCCAGCTTGCTCCTTTCAGGTGAGCAGTAGCAGCAGATGAGACAGAGATTCTTTGGTCTTGCTTTGCCCAAAAGAGGCTGAGAAAGGGCTGGAATACCACATGCACAACAAACTGCCCTGGATTTGGTGGGAGTTGGGATCTCTGCTTTTTTTAGAAGAATGGGCTTTTCCTGTATTCACCGAGATTGTTCAGCTTTCTCAAGAGAAATCTGAAACAGCCACGCTATGCCCAGGGCATTTTATTTCTCTGAAGGGCCCAAAAGCAGAAACAGTGGGTCTGAGAGGTTGCTGGGGCCTCCCTTAATGCATCTGCCCTGGACACAGACGGAGCCCTGGAGGGGAATGGAGAAGGCAGCATGAGCCCAAAGGATTGCAGGGAGAAGGACAAAGTGACATGGGAAACATGCCTTCCCTCCCTCCCCGTGCTGTGGAGTGTCCTGGCATCCCAACACAAACATTCCAGCTCGCTAACCAAACCCAGCTGCCTCCTCGCCGTCCTGGGCTCAAAAGCAGCGCCTGGCCAAGCAGCACCATGCAGGAGCTGGAGCAGCCTGCTTTTCTGCTTTTCTCTCCTTGTCCCCCTGCTCCAGCACTCCTGACTTCCATTCCTACCCACCCTGCCCTACCCACAGAGGGCCAAGTCTAGCTCCTCTTACCTGTTTGCATTTTCAAAGGTCTCCACTTTTTTCCAGAGTCTACCCACCCTGCCCTACCCACAGAGGGCCAAGTCTAGCTCCTCTTACCTGTTTGCATTTTCTAAGGTCTCCACTTTTTTCCAGAGTTCATTGTTTTCTGTTGTGTATGTCTCTACCCTATGGGAATAAAACCCACAGCCAGTTAGTCACAAAGGCCAGAGAGATTAAGACAATGCAGTCCTTGCTTTTCATGGGGTATGGAGGCTCAGTGGCTTCATCTGCCACCTGCAGATATGGTCCTGAAATCAAATGTTACTCGGCCCACCTTGCTGCTGCCAGCCCCAATGGAGCAGGGATGAGACTGCAGGTTGACAGTTACATGTGACAGTTCCCAGTTCAGCATCTTCTGAGGGTTGGGAGAGACAGTAGCACCTGGTTACAGGCAGGTCAAGTCAGGACAGACCCAAAGTTATGCAGGCATTTCCATCACTTCCAAACCCCTCTAAGAAGCATGAAAAAGGAGGAGGGGAACAAAGTCAAACCCCTCCCTAAGAAACTGCCCTGGGCTCTGCGCCCTGGCTGTGAAATCCAGGCCGCTCTGTGCAAACGCTGGGCCAGCTCCGACTGCAGGCACTTGAGGGCAGCAGAGAACCTGCAGGCTCCTTCTCACGGCTTCCGACGGGAAAGTGGTTGGGCTGCAGCTGGGACAAGGGAAGGGGAGTGCCTCCAGGTCGGGAGAAAAGCAAGCCAGATAGAGACGCAGCCTGATCCTGCTGGAGGTTTGCAGCACAGCCTTTGAACCAGGCGTTCCGTGAAAAAGCTGGGCTTCCAGCAAAAGTGTCAAATTGAATGGGGAAGGGTCCAAGTACAGGCTTTGACAAACCACTTTTTAGTAAGCCAAGCTGACCAAAGACATGTTCTGTAAAAAAAAAAAAATCACTGAATGCTGCTTTTGGTTCACATTTAAACCTGGCATTGTTTGAAAGCCATCTGTCATAGCAATGCTCTAGCGTAACAAACTGCTTAGTACATAGAGGCACCACAGCCACATCTGGGGAGGAGGCCCCAGCACCAAACGCCCTGGACCTGCCCTTTGAGCGAGGTCAGCCAGCTCCCCAGCCCTGGCTTGAAGGTCCCCATGTGGGACACTAGCTGGAGGTGATGTGCTCTGGTGCCTGGACGTACCCATGCACACTGAGGCCCCTTGAATCATCTGCTTTAACTGAGCATTTCTGTGCAACTAGAGAAGATAAATACATCAGGGAGAAGAGTTAATTGAAGTTGGGTTTGGGGGTTGTTTTTTCCATTTGCTGATCTCAGATGGTGTTAGTAACTGGGAAGAAGATAGTAATTATACAGAAACATGAATTTGTGCCTGGATTGCAGCATTCTTCTTTGCCTGGGAATGCGCATTAAGGGTTGCTAGCATAGGAGTTTTCTACCCAGTCAGTGTCATGTGACTGGGTTAGGCCTGCCATACATAGGAGAAAAACAAGGTTGCAAGGAGAAAAACAAAGCTAATGCAGAGAGTGGAAGTGGGGGAGAGTGGGGAACAACTGTAATGCAAGATTTTTCTTGCTGTCAAGGGTTTGTGTGTCCGACTTCATGGGAAGAGAGGGGGAAAAAGCCATGATCAGTGCTCTCCAACAGCTTGCCACTTATGGGGACAGACAAAATAGAGGCAACTTGTCATGGGGAAACCCAAAATCCCACCTTGTTGGCAGCCAAAACGACCTGTCTTTTGCAGGGGACCAGCCAAATGAAGCAGTTGGAAACACAAAATTTCTTGCCCAATCTTTATCCCGCAAGAGGATTTCTAGGAGGGAGGAGAGTAGGGGCAAGATCCCAAACCAAACTCCTGGGCAGCCAGCCTTGCAAGGAATTGTATTTTTTGAGCAATTTAGAGACAAAATACTAGAAAGGCGGTCTGTGCATGGTCAGGATTCCTTTTTTCAAAGTAAGACTGAGAAGAAGAAACTTACTTTTTCTCTAGACATTCCACATACTCTTTCTTCTTTCTGCGGCTCTCCTGAGCAGAGATCTGTGAGGGGGGCAGAGGGGAGTCAGTATCATAAGTCTCTGGATGTTTTTTTTGTGGCTCATGCATCTTGTCTGTCTCCTGCGCACACAGCATCCTAAAGGCAAATGGGGAGTTGCCTTCCTGCTGATCTCTAGGCCAAAACTGGGGGGGATTGATGCTGTAGGTATGCAGCTCTCCTTGGCTTGTAACCTGCAACCATTTGTTGCATTATGCCCTTCGCTGCCCTGCCAAAAGCATCTTCAGGGTTGCATTCCACTCCACTGACTCACATGTGTATGTGCTGTGGCCATTTGGGCTGATTCTGCTCCAGGCCACTTCTGAGTCACTGGGTGATTAGTTCAGTCTTACCATTTCTCCCACAGGATGCTTTCTAATCGCAGTCTAAAGTATCACAGCTTCTGCCTGGTTAGTGAACACTCCGCATCACCCGTCCCGCACCGTGCAATGGCTTTGGTTTCCCTGTCCTAGCAACAAGGCCTGACCTGACCAGTTTGTCAGATCTGTGGACCCTATCCCACACCACATACTCCCAGGAGCTGTACTGGAAGCCACACTTCCAAGGTCTGGCTGTATGCAAAGCATGCAAGCAGAGATGCCCTTTGGCACCTTTTTGTGGGTTGGGAGGCTCATGCTAGTGTACCAAAGGCACGATCCCACCTTTTCTGAGCTGCAGTGGCACTGAGGAGGTGAGGGTAACTACAGCACTGGGCAGTCTAAGATGCTCTGGAATCATGGGAAATGAATGATTCATTTTTTGCAGTCACCTTGTTCTTGATTTTCCTCCTGACCCTCTTCAGTGCTTTCTCCTCTGCTTTGGTGAGGGGCAGCTTGGTAGGAATGGGGTAACCCTCTGCAATCAAGGTACGCTTCTCTTCTTCAGTCAAGAGCAGTGGGCCAGAGGTTCCTTGTAACTTCTGAAACACACAGAGAGCATTCATCAGTGTCAACAAGGAGTTCTACCCCAGTGATCCTCCTTAAGGCCTTGCAGAGCAGCCAGAGGCTGTACACATCAGAGTGGAATACACTGCTGCCCACTGACACCAAACAGGTGCAGGGCAGTGCTCTTTCCTACTCTCAACCTGATCTGGGGGCACAGCTCAGCAAGCAACTTCTTTCCTCTTTTACTTGGGAGGGCATCTGTTCCTTCGTAGTGAGGCTGGCTACACACTTGCACACCTGCCAACAAACTTCTGGGCAACAGTTAAAATGGTCTGGTTACTGGAATTCTCAGTAATTCCTCTCTCATTAGCCTTCTCAGAAAGTCCTGTTAGTGCATAGGCCACTTCCCAAAGTATGGATGAAAGACAGCACCTGCTAAAACAAAGTAGATGCTGGTAGATATGCAAGATTCATTGTGCATCTTCTCACTCCTGTAAGCATTTACCCTTGTGCTAAGACATCACATTGCCTTGACAGAGCATTTCAGCTTGGAGACCTTAGCAAGGGCAGGAACCTCCACATAAGCCCTGGAAATCCTACAAACCCCTCTGAGCAGCAAGGAAGCCTGTATCCCAGCCCTGTTGCCTCCTTACATGTGGTGCTGTGAGGAGAGGTGAGGAGGAGATGGCAGTAGAAGAGCGAGCAGCAGGCCGGGCTGGGCTGGAGGGAGGCAGGGACCGAGGGCTCTGAGATCCGTCACTGTCACTGCCATGGCTGCTGGGTGGAGTTGGAGGCATCTGCACCAGGTCATCTACTGAGGAATAAGGAGATCAAGTCAATGGCTCTCATGTCAGCCTGTTGGTACAGGCATAGGATCATGCCCCCTGCCATAACACAGGGCTGAAAGGAGAGGATGATGAATTTCAGAAGATGGGGTGAGCCTGAGAAAAAGGCTTGACTGAGCACTGCCCAAGACAGAGGTTAGACTGACCTCAAATGTGCTAAACTAGGAACTGCAGAGGAGCTGGCGGGGCTTTGCCAAGGAACTGAAGGTATTTACAAAGCAATAAGGTGCTCCAGTGTCAACCAGAAAGAAGTAAAAAGCCTGTGATGTTTTGCTCCATAGCCTGTTCACAAGTACAGGAAGCTCTGTGAGAGCAGAGCTCTTCCAAAAGCACTGCAGGGCTCACACACTTGCCAGCACACTTGATCCAACGGAGCTCCGGTCACTCAGTTGGTTTCCAAGCACTTGAAAACTGTCCCCACTTTGTACTGGAGAGCCCTAGGGGCCTTAATGGAGGTGGGAATATGCCTAAGGAATGTCTCTCTGCGGCAGTGGGAGTTCCCATAGTGCTTTCATTTGTGCATCGGCAGATTTTCAGATGCTTGGGTTTCTTTCAAATTAAACTGGATCCTGAATTTCCTGACTTTCAGATGGTTATTTTTGGATAGCTCTACAGTCTCTCTGAGGATTTTAAAGGCACTCTTGCATATTTCCAACTCTGAAGTAGCCTGTTTTGCCTGGGAGTCCCTGTCTGAACAATTTTGTTTGTGGTTCCTGATGCAGACACTGATCTGAGCTAGAACAGTGCCCACTCTTCTGGTGTTCTCTGCCCCAGTGCTACCTTATATGCACAGCTGTGCCTGTAGGTGTTGTCTTTCTGCCCTGTATATAACAATCTATAGCTGAGTAATATAGTTGACCAGGAAATTCTATCTTCTTACCTGTAGGTACATTTAGAAACTGGTTCACCTCTTTGGGTTCAGCTTTGATCACAGGTGCTGGAGTCATTTCTATAGGAACCTGTGGAAGAGAAGCACAAAGAGCTCTTGGCCACTGCCACATCCCCTGCCCAGAAGGCTCCCACCAGTTCTGCCCATAGCCACTGGCCAACTGCTGCCTGTCCTTCCCCATCTCACAGCTCTGCCCCAGAGGAGCCTCTCACCACGGAGGAAACCAAGAGTTCAAACATAAGCCCCTGAAGTCTCAGTTGCTGGGCACACAGAGTGCAAACACATTTACACAGGAAGTGGCACTGGAAGATGGATGTGCTGCCAAGCAATGCACTGAGCTGAGTATCTCCAAAAGGGAGACGACTTTATTCTTGGCAATTCTTCCTTTGATAGACCCAGACAGTGTAATTTAAACCAACCCCTGTATTACCATGGGAAGTCCTTCTTTGATCTGCCTTCATTATAAATGGGAGTATGGAGGTTGTACAGAAACAGAACAACCATGCTGCCCTGTTCATGTGACTTTCACCAGGGACACTGGGCAACTGTTTCCAATTGGAGGGGACTGAGAGCTGAATAAAGAGTAGATTTACTCCCATCTGTGTTATGCTGCCCCTCAGCCTCCTGGCTTGCCAGCCCCCAGCCCACCATAGGGTGGAGTTTTTACACTGAACAGACACATGGCAAACTCCTCCAGACTGTAAACACAGCTGAGAGAGCACCATGGTATGGCTGCTGAGCATACACAGCAGAGATTGGAGGGCACAGCAAGTTCAAGCTGTGTAAATAATAGAGGAAGTTTGTGCACAGTTTTGGCTGGAAGAACCCATTTGTTTTGGATGGTTGTTTAAATAGGAAGATGTTCAACATGAGTGAAAAAAGGAACTGAACCCCAGAGATGTTCTACTATTATCTACTGAGCTGCTACAAGATAGGCAAGGTCTGTGTGAGACTGGTCAGACCTTCTCATCCAACACAGCTGGACTCAAGGCCAGCTGAACTAAGCCCTCAACTTACACCCACATACCAGTGGCATAAGTGAACCTCCTTCAGACAAACAGACTTCTTAAGAACCTAGATATGACCAAAAGATTTGGCCCCTTGTTACACAGAAATAATAAATCCTGCTGCTTCATAGGAAAAGGCAAGCAGGACCTAGAGTGGGACCAACATTTCCAGTGAGCAGCTACAAAGAGTGAGAGGCCATGTGACAAGTCCAAAGCCATGAAAAAGACAGTGGCAGAGCAGGGGTCTATATGGAGGAATAGTGAGGTCACTGGCATCCCATTAATCGACACTGTTCTCTGAAAAATGAAAATAAGCCAAGAGTGGCTACAGAGATACTGGCATATTGGAGGGGGCAGATCTCCAGTAGGTGCAAGCTTAGAGCTTTTGGCTTTTGTGCCAAGGAAACATGCTTATATTTAACCAAGATTGTAAAGCCTTCTGGGCTGCCATTTCAAGAGGAGAATGACAAATAATAGTGTCTGGGCTTTGTAACATCTTCTCCTGTCTGTTCAGTAGCTAAATCACCTTGCAGGACCCTGCAGTCTCATGTCTGCATCTGCACCACCGGGGTGCTGCTGTGTAAGAGCCCAGATTCCCGACACATCTTAGATGGGCTCACCTCCTCGGGGAGTGGCAGTCTCTGCAGAGGGTTGAGGTTCAGCACTGGTATGGAGCTGGCAGGTAGCTGGGACTCAGGCAGGTCTAGAGGCAGGTTCTGTTCCTGTTTCACCATGATGGAGCATAGTTTGGGCCCCAGTGACCACACTCCATTCTCCAGCTCTGAAACATGCACAACGTGAGAGTCAAACTCCAGCAAGAGGAGGGCAAGGAGAAAAGAAGCCATGCAGACAGCTTCCTCTGACTGAGGAGGCTGCCTCTCCAAGTTCAGCACTGTCACCACACATGCTTGTGTGGTGACTGTGTACACAACACAGAGTACAAAAGGGAATGAACCCCCAGTGTGTGCTCCCCAGTGTGTGGGGAGCAGACAGGACAGAGATGGAGGAATTGAGTCTCTGCTGGGCTCTGACTGTACAGCCCAAGCTCTGGAGGACAGTTGCAGGGTTTCTCCCCACAGTAATGTCTAGGTCTCATCCTCTGGAGCTTATTTATATTTAGGGTTCAGTGAGAGGAGGATGCTGGGCTGTTGCTCCATAGGCAGCATGGACAGCATCACAGATCTGCCGGTGATTTACCAAGAATAGCACCATCTCTGTGCTGGTGAGCTGGTGAGAGAGCAAGCACGATGACAGTGAAAGGCTGACAATGCTGCTTTGGCCACCTGATGATGTTGTGCCAAGTACCAGGGCTTTGCTGCATGACAGAAGAGGAAGGAGGTCTATTTCTGTGGAAGGAAGCCCACTGCAGCACCTGCTTGTGAGGCTGCTTCCACAGCTGCTCCCCTCAGTCTCACCTCTGAGACTCTCTTCTCTACCCTGAACTGCTCAGGGGACTGCTGTCCACAGCTGTACCCTGCTGCCATTGCTGGCAGGGACAAGATGCACCAGTGAGGGAAAGGGAATGTCTGAAGAGAACTGAATGGAGCCGTGGGGACATGCTCCCCTTGCCTCCTGCCTGCTCTGTCCCATGCACATCTGTGGTGTGAGCCTGGCTTGCCACTGGAAGTAGAGATCCCAGATAAACTGCAGATGGGAAAAGGACTACTAGGCAGGAGAGCTGCCTGGGCCCTGCTCTCAAGTTTTGGTCTTTGCTCTTCAAATACTTCAGCCTGACAAAAGGTTACTCCCAGCCGGCCTGCAGCCTTGCACCCTCCTTCCTAATCCTCATCCATTCCCTTTCCCTTTTTATCTGACAAGTAAAAATACATTTGGCTTGACATATGACAGACTATTGCTAAGTGTGTCACCAGAGAGAGCTGCAGTTGCCTCCACAAGGCCACAGTCTGATTCACTCTCTAACCTCTCTGCACTGCTCTCTGCATGCAACACTCTCAGTCAGGCCCAGAGATGTTGCCTAGCTGTCTGCTGCCCAGAGCAGTTCTGCAGTGCAGGCCTCAGTCCAGAAGATGTCCTGGCAAGAGGAGAGAGGGAGAAAGGTCTTTCTCTGCTCCAGAAAAGCCTGCACAAAGAAGAGTACAAACAAGCAGCTGTTCACATGGGAGCTGCCATCTGATCTAACTTAAACATATGTTAACATTGTCTTTGCCCTACTCAGCCTCTGTTTTCAGGAGAGGCCAGGGCAGAATCCTGCCTCTGGCCTTTGCTTGGACAGAGTGGTGTTAAAGCCCAGACAAGAATTCTATATGATAACACAGTGTTGGCCTTGCCAATGGAATATGTTGTTTTCCTGTCTTTGGTCTAGCACCTCTTATTTCTGCCCAGCAAGTCTCTCTAGCAGATGTTCATTCCTTCCAGCTGCCTTGTGACTGGACCTTGTCAAGCACAGAGGCAGATCCTGTGGCTGCTGTGTGTGTGTCTCAGCTGTGAGTGCTGCTCTCAGTGCTGCTGGATTGCTTTCTAGAGCTTCCCACAATGCAGCAGGGCCAATGTCATCAGGCAGCATCTCAGGCAGGGGTGCACTGTACAGCTGAGACAACACAGAGCCTACTGAGCAGACACAGAGTAGATTGTGTTTTCTCTGTCCTGCTAAGGACACTGAACCCAAAGCAAGTAGTGAAGTCCTAGTTACCCTGGTATGCAGACAAACCCCTTCTGATGGAAGGAGGCAAAGTGTCACACAGCCACCAGTGTTTGTATCCAGAAAATTTGGACTGACTTCTGCCTTTCACAGAAATGAGGGACCTTGAGAGATCTTTCAGTCTATCCTACTGCTCTAGGCAAGTTCAACTAAACCTATGTCAATCCTGATATTCACTTGAACCTACCCCTTTGAAAAGTGCTGAAGAGTTCACAGCATCCTCCATTTAAACTCTTCTGTGGTTTTGTAATGCCCACCGTGGGAACATTTTGCCTGCTGACTACTCTGAAGTTCCTTACTGTCATTTGAAGCCTTTTCCTCCTCATCCTTTTTGTTGCAAAGATCTGCATTTCTCTTTTTCTCAGATGTGTGGGGTATCTTTCTGTGAGGGCTGCTGCTGAAGCAAGTTACCAGACAAGGGAGAGCAGACCACCAAGGGCTCTCCCTGACCAGACTTGACTCAGTGAGAGAGCAGCCTCCAGTGCTGTCAGTCCAGACGGGCCAAGGAGCAGACACCCAAATAAGTATGTGCCGTCCTCCCATTTCCTGTCTACATTCTGACCCTGGTCTCTTTCCCACCCTCGGAGATTCTTCTGGGGAGTGATTGGGTTACAGAATCAGAGACAAATAAGCCATCAGAGGGTCAATGAGGGACTGAGGAGTAGGCATCTTTTGTAGAGGCATCTAGGTTCTGCTGCCTGAGAGGATGTTTCAGAGGTAACACTGTAACACTGCAGATTTCACTGTAAGTTGGTGGATGAAGCATGCCAAGACACTCATCCTCTGCTCTAGATATTCTGTAGATGCTCTGTACCTACTGGGAAGAAATGTGCCTGAGAGATCTCTGTAGCTGCCCAGGGTTCAGGAGGCAAAGAGCAGTGAGAAAGCAGGACCCGTACAGGAGGGCAGGCACTAACCTGAGGCTGGTCCAGTGCTCACAGTTCTGCACAACCCTGGCTCTCCCTGCTCCTGGCATCAAATCACACCCTGCAAAACTCAGGGCTGGTACTGAGGGATGAAGCAGCCAATCAGTATGCACAAGCCATCTGGAAAGCAGACTCCACTGATAAGCAGGGCCACAATGCACCCAGTGGCTTGCCCTAGCTGCCCTGTGTTAGTCTGTGTTAGTGGGAACCATGTGGGAAGGGGCAGGACTTGGAAGAGTTTTGGAGATCTGCAGAAAAGCTGCGAGAAAGCTGATAAAAAGCAAGCTTCAGCCAGCTCCAAGCCTAGACAGAGCAGGGGCATTCCTGAGGAGCTCTGTAGAATGAACAGAGCTTGCTTAATGTTAAAGAAAAAACATTTCTGGGTAATTAATTGGAACTGAATGTCTAAAAGGATTGAGACTGGATGGACCTGTGCCAAAAGGACTGCACAGTGTTGCAAATACTGGACCTGACTCAGGGTTTCACTAGAATATGACTCACATGCAATTATGAGCCAAAAAAGCCCTGGAAAGATGAGCTGAATTATCTAGCTGCAGGACTGGGTGCATGGATACTTCTATGCCTGCCATTGTAATGCCAGGCCTTACTCCCTTATAAAACTGATCTGCACTCTCAGAGAGAAGTGCCAGGCCCATCTCAAACTCTCCTGGGTTATTCATTGTACACCCTATGCTGGCCTCTGCTCAAGGGTCAGTGTGACACTCCATTCAAGAGAGTCATGGTCTTGCCTTTGAGACATAACAGCTGAAGGAAGGGCACATGCAGACACAGTGGAGAGAAGGAGAAGTGGTGTTGAGTGTCTCAGAAAGGAGCTCTTGAGATAGCTTCATGCTGGCAGTCTTCATCTCACTGCTTTCTACAAACGCATTCTTTGGGCTTCTCTCATTCTCATCTCTTCCCATTCATTTTCAGGGGCAAAAGAAAGCTGTGGTTTTTTGTTCATGATGGTTTGGGGTTTTTTTCTTAGTTGCCCTCTCCAAGACTGTACCAGGGTTAAAACTAAGGAAAAAGAAATGCAAATTGAAAACTTTTTTGGTACTAAGGCAGAGTTGCTTGGATTGCCATAAACCTCTCTCCCAGCATCTCTCTGAGATGCCCCTAAGGAATGTGGCAGATGGTTGTGCCTTTTCAAGGACCAAAGAGGTAGCAGAGGCCAGCCTTCTCTCCTTCTGCCTTGGCGTTTGTACCAGAAAGCTGGGATCATTCCTAGTCATGAGAGGACGCCTCTGTCCCAGGTCTCACTGTTGCTCAAAGGAATAGCTGTCTTCTGTGTATACTGAGCCTGTGCCACTGCTTTTTCAGGCAGCCTGGTGTCCATCAGCTGTTGGGACACCCACACAATCCCACAAATTACAGGACTCTCTGCAAGGACAGCTCTAAAAATACCCAGCCATCATAAATTATCCTGAAATGAATTGTTTTAAAAATAAGTTTTGAAATGACTATTCCCCTCTGTCTCCTGCTAAAAGATCTGCTGGTAAAGAAGGCACTTAGCTTTCCACATGTACCAGCACTGGTTTCAGCCAGAGACTCATGCTTCCTATGTGCAAGCCAAAACCCTGCTTCCTGATGCCAAAACGGAGCTGGATCTAGGGCATCCACACCCAAGTTTGCAGGGTCCTAAAAAGACATTGCCTGTTGCTTGCCAGAAGCTGGCAGCACACTAAGCCACAGCCAATTACCATCCTTGTAAATAGCAGTAAGCCCAGCAAAGGAGTAATGTGACTATCACAGCACAAATGGAAGGGAAAAATGTGGCTCTATTTGACAACAGCAAATCAAATTCTTCCCTGTATTGGACATGTGCAAGTCCAAGGAATAGCCAGTTTGTCCTTATATATGAAAGCCAGCCAGAGCCTCTGCTAACAGACGTGCCCAAAGCTGAGCAGCGTGCACATCTCACGCTCACCGTTAGCATTATCTTCAGTCTTGACAGGCACAAGGGGGCTCTGGGGAGCAGAGTCTCCACTGAGGGAATAGCTGTGCTCTGCCTGGATGCCTGGAGTGGGTGGATCCAGGTCCATGTCCAGCAGAGGGTTCTTCTCAGCCAGTACTGGGTCATCGAAGAAACTGCTGAAGAGGTCATTGGAGAAATCCTCCATGTTGTCAGAGAAGTGATCCAGGTTCTCTGAGAAATGCTAAGGAAAGACAAAGGGAGAAAGAGCATTAGTGTCAACTCCAAGAGGGATCTGAGAGCCTTCCTCCACACTGAGAGTCAAACCTCAGCATCAATTCCTATTCCTCACCTCCATCAGTCTGACTAAACACCTCGAAACAAGACAGAAAGGGATGTTGTGCTGTACATCACTGCATACAATCTATGCCACAAACACGCATGAAACTTTTCTACATCATCTTATCTCCCCCTTCCTTTGTGAGTATCTATCTGTGTCTTATAAACTTCATCTCACTGTGACAACAAAATGAATAGAATACAAGAAAGAGATTCCTGTGATGATAAAATGTAAGTGTGGCACAAAGTCATGGTCTTCAGCACCTGTCCTTAGTGACAGACACTTTTTCGTGTTCTCTGCCAGCAGCCATAGGCACATTGATGCCCCAGAGGATATCAATCCAGCTGCTGATTTCTATCAGAGAAGAAAGATCAGTTGGATCAACATAACAGGAAGGTCCCCTGTTGTATTTAATTTCCTCTGGGATTTAACAGCCCCTCTGTAGACCATATGAGGCTGCACTTCAGCCAGATAATGCCTGTGAAATTCAGCTCCCCGATGAAGTTTAAACACTACAGATGGGCTGTTAACAACAAACAATCATTCCACTAATCATTCCAGTAACAGTCAGTAAATCTGTGCTGCTGCAGAGCTGAGCTCCTGATGCTACAGGGAACCTTCTTCCTTTGAGGCATATCCTCCTATTCAGAAGTCAAATCACTAACTTTTCCATTTGCTACAACAAAGCCTTGGTTGGGCAGGGAGAAAAATGATGGCTGCCAAACACCAGCTGAAAAATTATCCCATTTGTTGGCAGATTGAGGCTTCTGGCTCAGGGAGAGGAAAGAAAAGACAGATAGATTCAAGTGGCTATATTACACAGACAGAACTGTGTCACTTAAATGAACTGGAGAGAGCTCAGTAGAGTCAGGCTGGGTCTGTCCCCCCACCCCCTGCCTGGAAAAGCATCTCGGTGGGCAGAAAGGCATTGAAAGCAGTATACTGAAATACCAAGAGCCACAGGGTATGAATGAGTGTGGGAGAGACCACGTAGGTCCTGGAGTGGAGACATGAATGCCAATGAATTCCAGAGTGAGAGCTCAGCTCAGCAGAGAGCCTGGCTTCTAGAGGAGCACAGGGTGTGTGCAGTCCTTTCTTTCCCCAGTGCTAGGACTGAGGCAGGAGGTGGCCAGAGGACCCCGGATGCTGGAGTCTGTAGGTTCCTGCTCCTACTGGAAGGTATATTTGTTTTACCTGAGCACAGTACCACTCTGTCAACATTCCACTGGCTGGCAGAGCTTTGGGGTGAGGCTGGGGAGTGAAGCAGGCTCTAGATGAACAGACCCACACTTCCCACCAAGTGGGGGAGGTAAATGGTAAGGGCCAGCAATCTCCAACATGTCAGTGTCTTTCACCCTCCAACATCATCCTTCAGCTGCTCCATTTAAAACCTCAGATGCTTACACAGCATGCTGTAAGTGGGGGTGGAGTCCCTGCCACCTGCATTCTGCCTGACATGAGGTTTCTCTCCATTTACTTCCTTCCTACCTGTCCTCTGACTGCCTGGGGTGACAGCCCCATCCAAGGCTTCCCTGGAGACCAGACACTGCATGTGCAAGTAGGGTGGAGAAGGCACACTCATGCTAAATCCTAGTGTTGGGGCCCTCCCTGCAATGTCTGGGCTAAAGTTTTCTCCACTTGTTCCCACAGCAGAAGCAGAGTTGGCGGGGTAGTTTGGTAAAATCCACCCAGCCATTTCTAAGTTGCCTAGGAGCATTTTTGCACTTGAATCAAGTAACAGAAAACACCTACCATCTGTGGGGAATGTAACTTCAGAGGGAGCTGAGTCAGCAGATGGAACTGGGTTAGATAGTTATCTAAAATGCACTGGAAAACCAGGTTTTGTCCTATCCTACAGCATGGAAAGATAAAGAGTTTGGAGTCCTGAGCATTAACCCCAGAGAGCGCCTGCTCATGTAACAGCTGTTCTTTGTCTTGTGCTCTCTAAACAACACAAGCAAACACAGGATGTGAACACGATAGCCTTATGGTAAGGGTGAGAACCACAGAAAAGTGAAGAGATTCAGAGTGCTGGCTGCTAATGCACCACAACACAGCAGAGCTGGGCTCAAATCATATTTCATGTTGTAACTCTGAAAACTAGAACCACTGTGTAGCCATGGAAGAGAAGCAGAGCTAGATGGACAACTGTGGGGAGAGCTGTCTGTGACACTGCCATGTGCTTCCAATTTCTTTCACAACTGTGCATTAATAAAGGCAGAGGTGGGATTGAAGACAGTCAAGAAAATGCATCCGTGCAGTAGTTACACAGATCATCTTTTCACGGCATCCCACCCACATTTAGAACAATGATCCCTTGGTCAGTCAACAATCTCTCTATTGTTGGACAAACCTACCTAGAGGAAAGAGGCGGAGATGCGCCTCTGGCTCTATTCCGAAACTAAAAAAAAATCACCCCAGCAGCTGCTGAGGGGTGAGAGATGAGTAATGAGTGCAAGGGACTGAGTATCAGAGCCTTAACACAGGCACCAACACTGGCAAGAGTAATTTCAGGTTTCTCATTATTTTAGACACCACACAGCAGACTTGCTCGTGGAAGACCTCACTGTTTGGAAATGAGGATGAAGGCAACACTGTTCTCCCAGAGGTGCAGGAGTTCAAGTCCCCAAGAGACCATTCTCTTCCAAGAGACACAGACCTACTGCACAGTACAGGAAAAACATGGGTGATGGGCTGAGAATGAAACTTGCCCCCCTCCCTGGGAATCCAGAAATGTTGTGGAATCTACCCCACTCTGGGCTTCTGGGTCTTATCCTCCTAAATACTGGCAAAGCCTTCTCATCAAAGCAGCCCGTTTCAGCTCTCACCACTCACACATATACCAGTCCAACATCTCCAAACACAGTTGATGGAGAGAAGGGAGCTAGCCCATGAGATTGGCTATAAATACAGTTTTTATCAAAGGGGGCACCAAGGATCCAAAACCCTCAAAGAGGGACAGCACCTAGAGCTGACACAAAGCTGGAGATTGTTGTTTTACTCAAAGAAGGTGGCAAGAGGCAGAGGAAAACAGCAGAAGGAAGAGTAAAGCAAACAAAAATAATAACATGGGTTTGTAGCTGGCTATACCCATAATGGAAACTATGGGACCAGCAGGAAGCTGTCACCACATCCCAGGAAGACTACTGGGGCTCTTGGGTTGACTGTTTCTCTTCTGAAGTCAACAGGTATTGTTAATTTTAGACTTCTAATTTGTATAAGACAGCGGTGCATGCAACCACATGGTAAGAAGAAAGAGTGTCCTCTTGTCAAGATCCAACTGTGATGGACACAGTGAGGAGCAACCCAGAGTTTATTTTGGCTAGATGGCATCAAAACCACTACTAATTAGTTTAGCTTGAGCCTGTTAATGCAGAATATGCAAATTTTGTCCCACCCAGCCTAATTCTGGGAAGTGCACTTATCTGGCAAAACTTAGCTTCAGCTGTACTTCTCCTTTGCATGTGTGAGAGAGGGTTGAGGGAACTAGGAAATGGTGACTCAGGGCTGTGTACATCACACTAGCACATGGCAGGGTCAATGCTCCAAGCTTCTGAGCAATGAAGAGAAGCAGGTTTATCACCTGACCAAATGGATAGCAGCTTTATCCTTGCTGGCTGGAATGGAAGGTGCTGGCTGGTCACTAGCCCTCCATTCCCACCCAGGTTGGGGCCAGCACAGCTAAAGGTCTTCATGTGCTGCCACGAAATGACAAGACTAGGCTGGGCTTTGGGGAGACTTTTGCCAGCGCAATGGCAGTGAAGGTCTCAGCGGACCAGGGAAGGTTCAAGAAAGAGTCCATGGAACTTGGGTGTGAATGAAGGTGGGATAGACAGAGATTCACAAGCATAGCAGCCTCGTCCTCTCACAGCTTCTTCAAGACCAAAGCTCCTTGAGAGTGCCTTCCAACCAGGCTGAGATCAGCCAGCTCCTGCTCCTCAGAAGAATGGCCAAGAGTTTCTAATTGTGACAATGAAGGGCTCAGCAACTGAAAGGAGAGTCTCCTTTCAGATATTTCAAGTAGCTTTCACGCAGATGGGTCGGGCTTTAGCAAGGGGGACCAGTCAACTGGGAAACTTGACCCTTACCATCCTGGCCTAGAGGGAGTGGGTGTGCAGTGTACTGAGGGAAAACAGTTTCCAGATGGGATACAAAGCTCACAGCACAGTCTCATTTTGCATTATTCGCTCCTGTTATCTTCCCCTCCCTTTCACACTCTCCTTCCTTCTTCTTCTAAGTATGCTCCAAAGCCAAGAAATAGCACGAGATGTGTTTCCAAAGCTGTATTACCAGTGAGCGGTCAGGGAGGGGGCAGCCAAGGGACAGAAATGCAATGGCGGGGATGTGCTGAATTTCCTGATCCAAGCCTGATTTCTGGCTGCCTGTCCCCCTCAAACTCTAGGAGGACAGGGAGGCAGCGCCCAAAGAGGATAAGCCAGTGCGTACATGTATGGAGAGGCAACAAGCATTGCATCTCTAGGCCCTACAGAGAGCCTTACCCTGGTGCCACAGTAGAATCTGCTCAGCTGAGGCCACCTCAGGCATGGGGAGAGAGTGAGAATCTGTCAGCTCCTGGCTTCTGCTCCCTCCCACTCCTGGTGATCGACACAGGCACCGACTCTTCCAAACATATTTCCACCACATGTTTTCATCCTGACCTCATGCTTAGGGTTGTCTAAATAGCACACTGTATGTGCGTGCGTGCACTTCTCATTCAAACACCCTTTCCTGTTGTACAACAGTTATCTTGGGAGCTAATGCAAGGCATCCAGACATCCAAATGCAAGCTCTACATATACCCCCACCCAGAGATGGTGTTAGGACTCTGGAGGCCCCAAGGAGAGACTGAGGCACAAAGCCTTCTCCCATGCCCAGTTGCACATGAGATGCCTTAAGCGGCACCA